CGATCCTCAGATCTCAGCCTCCTGAGTAGCTAGGATTACAGGCGTGAGCCACCAGCGCCCGGCTAAACTTTTTGCTTTTATGTGGTGCTGAGGAATCGAACCCAGGGCCTCAGGCATGCAAGGCAAGCGCTCTACCACTGTGCCACCTTCCCAGCCCCCGTCATCATTTCTTTATCTTTTGTCCTCCATTTTCTTCTACACTCTCACTGGAGTTCTTTCCTGGGTTGCTGCTGGAACATGCACATGTTTTGCTATACTGGTGACCTATTCAGCTTAGGATCTTGGTTGGGGTACATTTGTTTGTCAGTTCCCAGTGGGTTGGGGGCACTCCTCCAGCTGTTAGGGCTTATGCACAATTCCCAGCTCCATTTAGCCTGGGACTGGCAGCCAAGGCCGCTGGATCCCCCCTCTGAGCACACAGGTGGGCTGCTGGAGCCTTCCCACAGTTACAGGTGGAGCTTGCTTCACAGGGCTGTTGGAGCCCATGGGAGGTTCCCTGGGCAGGGGGCGGGGTTTCCCATGGAGTACTCACTGATCCTGGAACTGGTTAGGGGCTGTCCAGTGGTGCTGTGGCAGATCGATGTATCTGTGTGCTGTAGATTGTTGGTCACCACCGAGCTTTGTTGCGATGATTGTAGGGTGAGCAGTGTGGCTGTGGGAGTTCTGGGTCTGGGTTTCACAACACCTTGTCTCCAGTCTCTTGTCACTGTCTGGGCCCTTTGCTCTAAGGGTTTTCTGTGCTGGAGTTCTATGTTTGCTTGTGGCTTTGAGGTCCCAGGGAGATGAGGGCTGGGCTGCTTTTGTGGCTGGGCGGCAAGGGAGGGGGTATTCGCATTTTTTCCACCTTAGTGCAAGTTTTGAGGTTCTTTTTCTTTTCCTGTTTTCAGTCCCTGTACTTCTCAGGTTGATCACCTTTTTTGCTTTTGTCCATCTCTTGGGGGAACTGCATTTTGGGAATTCTCTATTTAGTTGGAGAGAGCTGTAGTGTTTCCCTACTGGTTTGTTGTCATCTTGGATCTTCCTAGGTTTTTTGTTGTTGTTGTTGTTGGTCATGGGGCTTGAACTCTGGGCCTGGGCGCTGTCCTTCAGCCCTTCAGCTCAAGGCTAGTGCTCTATCACTTGATTGGCCAATTTCCTAATTGTATGGTTTTGATTTATTTTTATTTTTTATTTATTTATTTTTTTGCGGGGGGTCCGGTCCTGGGGCTTGAACTCTGGGCCTGGGCGCTGTCCTTCAGCCCTTCAGCTCAAGGCTAGTGCTCTATCACTTGATTGGCCAATTTCCTAATTGTATGGTTTTGATTTATTTTTATTTTTTATTTATTTATTTTTTTGCGGGGGGTCCGGTCCTGGGGCTTGAACTCTGGGCCTGGGTGCTGTCAGGTTTTGATTTTTTTGAGTTGTAGGATTTTTTTTTTTGCCACCCCTGGGCTTGAACTCAGGGCGTGGGTACTGTTCCTGAGCCTCCCTGTATCAAGGCTAGAGCTCTACCATTTGAGCCACTGGGTACTGTTCCTGAGCCTCCCTGTATCAAGGCTAGTGCTCTACCACTTGAGCAATCGAACCAGGGCTTCACGCATAGAAGGCAAGCATTCAACTACTAAGCCGCATTCTCAGCCCCAGGAATTCTTAATTCTAGATATTAACCCCTCTATATAAGTGATTTAGAAGTATTTTCTCCCTTTCTGTAGGCTTGAGCTTGAAAATGTTCTGCATATATCCTCTAATGGGTATTTTCTTTTTTCTGGTGATATTGGGGCTTGAGCTCAAGGCCTCGTGTTTGCTAGGCAAACACTCTACTGCTTGAGCTATACCTCAGCCCTGACAGTTGTTTTTGATGTACAAATTTCTATTTTGACATATTTTCAATACAGGGATCAAACTCAAGGTCTTGCACAAAATAGGCAAGTTCTACCACTGAGCTATATCCCCAGCCTGATTTTACTTTTGTTATTTGAGTTACATCCAAAAAATCATTATTAAATCCAGTGTCGTGCTTTTCCCCTGTGTTTTCGTCTAAGAGTATTACAGTTGTACCTTTAATGTTTAGGTCTTAGATCTGTTGTAAATTAATTTTTATATATAGTATAAGTTAAAGGTCCAACTTCATTATTTTGTTTGTGGATAGCCAGTTTTCCAAGCATAATTTGGTTATGTGTACTGATAGTTTCTTTTTATTATGGCATAATATTCCAAGGCATGTAATTCCGGCTTATTTAATTTTGAGGAACATTTTACTTCTTCCTAGTTGTTGGCTATATTTTTGTCACTGTACCAGTACTAGGGCTTAAAATTAGAGCTTTGCTCTCTTGTTTGTCATTTTCAAGCTCAAGGCTGGTGCTTTTACCACTTGAGCCACACCTCCACTTCCAGTTGTTGGTTACTATAAAATTATTCTTTTGCTAGGTCTCCAGTGGCTCATGATTATAATCTTTGCTACTCAGGAGTCTGAGATTTCAGGATGGAGGTTCAGAGCCATCCCAGGAAGATAAATCCTTGAGACTCTTGTCTCCAATCATTCAGCAAAAGACAAAGTGAAGGTATGGCTCAAGTGTTAGAGCACCAGCTTTGAGTGTAAAAGTTAAACAAGAGGTAATGGCTTGAGTTCAAGCCCCAGTACTGTCGCAAAACAATAAGAAGAATGTTCTCTTGACGTTTTTTTGCTATACTGGGAATTGAACTTGGGGCCCTGCTTGCTATATAGACAGGCACTGTATCACTTAAGCTGTATCTCCACCTTCTTCCCTTGTTTATTTTTTGTTTGTTTCAGTTCTGTGGGTTGAGTTTGGGACCTGCTTACTGTCCTTAAGCTTTTGTGCTCAAGATTAGTGCTCTACCACTTGAGCCACATTTCTGCTTCTGGCTTTTTGTGGTCAGTTGGAGATAATTTCACAGACTTTCCTGCCTGGGCTGGCTACAAACTAGGAACCTCTAACCACAGTTTTCTGAGTAGCTAGAATTACAAGTGTTAGCCCCGGGTACCTGGTTGCCATGATGTGTGTGTGTGTGTGTGTGTGTGTGTGTGTGTGTGTGTGTGTGTGTGTGTGTGTGTGATTTTATGTTATTATTTATTTTAAAATTTATTTTCATAGAGATGATGTACGGAGGGATTACAATTATATGAGTCAGGTAATAAGTACATTTCCTCTCATATAGTGTCTTCTATTCCCTTGTTCTATCCCAGTCACTCCCACTTATTTTTTTTTTTTTGCTGGTCATGGGGCCTGAACTCTGGGTCTGGGCGCTGTCCTTCAGCTCTTCAGCTCAAGGCTAGTGCTCTGCCACTGGAGCCACAGCGCCAATTCCGGCTTTTTCTGTTTATGTGGTGCTGAGGAATCGAACCCAGGGCCTCCTGCTTGCAAGGCATGCACTCTACTGCTGAGCTACCTTCCCAGCCCTCACTCCCACTTATTTATTTATTTATTTACTTATTTGCCAGTCCTGGAGCTTGAATTCAGGGCTTGGGTACTATCTCTGACTTTCTTTTTTTCTTTCTTTTTTTTTTGCCGGTTGTGGGGCCTGAACTCTGGGCCTGGGGACTGTCCCTCAGCTCTCAGTTCAAGGCTAGAGCTCTACCACTTGAACCACAGTGCCACTTCCAGCTTTTTCTGCTTATGTGGTGCTGAGGAATCAAACCCAGGGCCTCAGGCATGCAAGGCAAGCGCTCTACCACTGAGCCACCTTCCCAACCCTACTTTATTGTTATAAAAATGATATATGGGGTTACAATTTGCCTTGGTTATTTTTGAGATAGAGTCTCCCTTTTCTTTTTTGTGTGTGGGATTTGAACTCAGCCTGTGCACTGTCCCTGAGCTTTTTGGCTCAAGGCTAGCACTCTATCACTTGAACCACTTACAGGTTTTGGGTTTTTTTTCGGTGATTAATTAGAGATAAGATTCTTACAGCCAGGCACCGGTGGCTCACACCTGTAATCCTAGCTACTCAGGAGGCTGAGATCTGAGGATCGCGGTTCAAAGCCTGCCTGAGCAGGAAACTCCGTGAGACTCTTATCTCCAATAAACCACTCAAAAACCGGAAATGGCACTGTGGCTCAAGTGGTAGAGTGCTCGCCTTGAGCTGAAGAGCATGAGGACAGCGCCCAAATCCAGAGTTCAAGCCCCACGACCTATTAAAAAAAAAAGATTCTTACAGACTTTCTTGCTCGGGCTGGCTTTGAACTGTCATCCTCAGATATCAGCCTCCTGAGTATCTAGGATTACAGGCACGAGCTACTGGTATTTGGCTTTCCTTGAGTTTTTTTGCCCAAGGTTAACACTCTACCACTTGAGCCACAGCTCCACTTCTGGCCTTTTTGGTGCTTAAGTGAAGATAGAGTCTCACAGGCTTTTCTGTCAGGGCTGGCTTCAAACCATAATCCTCAGATCTCAGCTACCTGAGTAGCTGGAATTACAGGCATGAGAATCAGCATACAGCTTACTACCATTATTAAAATACTGTTGAAGACAAAAGCTAAGTACTGGGCTGCTATATCTTTTTTTTTTTTTTTGTCGGTCTTGGGCCTGAACTCTGGGCCTAGGCACTGTCTCTCATGTCTCTCATGTCTTCAGCTCTACCACTTGAGCCACAGCACCACTTCTGACTTTTTCTGCTTATGTGGTGCTGAGGAATTGAACCCAGAGTCTCATGCATGCAAGGCAAGGACTCTACCACTGAGCCACCTTCCCAGCCCTGGGCTGCTATATCGAACAGTTGATCTTTGTGGCTAATCTATAAAGCATAGCATTGCTCATTGTCCTTTTTCTCCCCTACCAACTATTGAGTATACATAGTGCAAATGTTTCCCATGCCTGTGAGAATCCTTTCCTGTACTTTAGGTTCGAACTGCTCCTTGGAATACCACAAGAGCTTTCATTGCTGCCATGAAGGGGAAATGTCTACTGGAGGTGACTGGTGTGGCAGATCCCACAGGCTGTGGTGAAGGATTCTCCTATGTGAAGATTCCAAACAAACCAACACAGCAGAAGGTAAGATTGTCTATAATTTCTAGTTAAAAATTCTTGTTTCTTAATCAAGCACTGTTGGCTCATGCCTTTAATCCTAGCTACTCAGGAGGCTACGATCTGAGGTTTGCAGTTCGAAGTTAGCCTGGACAGGAAAGTTGGTGAGATTCCTGTCTTCAATGAACTACAAAAAATGGCTGGAAGTAGAGGTGTGACTCAAGTAGTAGAGTACTAGCCTTGAACAGTAATCTCAGGGACATGTACAAAAATTCTTTATGTTTGTATTTAAAGAGTTGTACAAAGGAGAGATTGAATTTTTAGGAGGAGGAAATGAGGATTGGGGAATGAGATGGAGTGGAAGACCTGGAAAGTAATTAAGTTGGCAGAATGACATAAGTGACTACTATAAGGAACTCTTAGGATTCTCACTTGGTTTTTTTTGTTTGAGGCAGGATGATAAGGAGCCTCAGCCAGTGAAGAAGACTGTGACAGGAACAGATGCAGACCTTCGTCGCCTTTCTTTGAAAAATGCCAAGCAACTTCTCCGTAAATTTGGTGTGCCTGAGGAAGAGGTAGGTGTAGAAGAAGAAAACTTGGAGCTCCTAGAAGCTTTATGTAAGGTATAAGAAGCAGAATTAAAATCTGAAGAGCTTTGTGGTGTATTGATTACAGAATATATCCTAGATGCTTTTCCAGGAATTGACTTTCCCGAAGTTTAAGTCTGTTTAATCATGACCCTGGTTTTTCTTTTGAAATTCTTGAATGATTTATATGCGTGCATATGTATATATTTATATGAATATGTGTTTGTCTCATAGATTAAAAAATTGTCCCGTTGGGAAGTTATTGATGTGGTACGCACAATGTCAACAGAACAAGCTCGTTCTGGAGAGGGGCCCATGAGTAAATTTGCCCGGGGATCAAGGTTTTCTGTGGCTGAACATCAAGAGCGTTACAAAGAGGAATGTCAGCGCATCTTTGACCTTCAAAACAAGTATGCTGTTTCACTGCTCTAGGAAACTCAAGCTGGAAAGGGGAGAGGTCCTAGATACCATATAGGTCTTTGTTTTGTTTTTGTGGTACTGAGGATCAAATTAAGGACCTTGTGCATTCTAGGCAAGTGCTTTATCACTGAGCTTTATCTGCAGCCACCATATACTGTTTTATAACGAAAAGGAGCTCACCTAAAAGTATGACTAGGTACTTGAGTTATTAGGATAATATGTACAATAATACTATGAGAAGACTTGCTCCTTTCAAAGCTACTTGGTAAAAATTTTGAATGTCAAGAAGGTGCTACGCTTGAGCTTAGATTTTCATGGTAATCTATTACGGTTGAGCCTGGAAACTTCAACAAGAGTAATAGGGCTTTTTTTCCCCTGAAGATTTAGTTATGAGACAATGGTAAAGTGCTACTAAAAATGACCTGTGGCTGAAGCAGAAGGATGAAGAGATTGAGGCTAACCTGAGCTATAATAACACCATGTTAAGGGTACCACATCTTAGTGTATTCTGTATATGTTGTGTGTGTGTGTGTGTGTGTGTGTGTGTGTGTGTGTGTGTCTGTCTGTCTGTCTGTGTGCATGTGCATGCGTGCGTGTGTGCTGACATAGGCTTGAATTCAGGGGCTCACACTCTTTAGGTTTATACTCAAGGCTGATGCTCTACCACTTGAGCCATAACTCTGCATACAGCTTTTGGCTAGTTAATTGGGACTGAGAATTTCATGAACTTTCCTGCTAGGGTGGTTTGGAACTGGAATTCTCAGATTTGAGCCTCCTGAGTAGCTAGAATTACAGGCATGAACCATTAACATCTGACTCTGTGTCTGCTTTTTTTTAGGTGTGGGGGGGGCTGATCTTGGGGCTTGAATTCAGGGCCTGGGCACTATCCTTGTACTTCTTTGCTAAAGGCTAGTGATCTACCACTTGAGCCACAGGTCCACTTCTAGCTTTTAGGTAGTTAATGGGAGGTAAGAATCTCACAGATTTTCCTATCTGGATTGGGTTCGAACCATGATCCTCAGATCTTGGCTTCCTGAGTAGCTGGGATTACAAGTGAGAGTCACCAGTGCCCAGCCTTATAAAGGATTATTTATCTTTTTTTTTTATTTTGGTGTAATCATTTCTTTAACTCTTTTATATTTCGGTATATCCGATATCTGGTTAGTCTTTAACTTTTTTTTTAGGGTTTTGTCATCAACAGAACTATTATCAACTGACACAGACAGCAGCTCAGCTGAAGATAGTGACTTTGAAGAAATGGGAAAAAATATTGAGAATATGTTGCAGAACAAGAAAACCAGCTCGCAGCTATCACGTGAACGGGAGGAACAGGAGAGGAAGGAACTACAGCGGATGCTACTTGGTGAGGGTAGTGGATATATAGATAAGAAGGAGAAGAATCAAAAAAAGCATAAATAAAAGCAAACTATAACTGAGAGAAGCTGGAGGCAGACAAAGTAGGTGATAAGTACAAGAAAATCTATAGGTTAGGTAGAAAGGTTTCTGCAAATTGGACTGTAGATCTGTCTGTGGGGGAGAAATTGAATAGATGCTGCCAATTCATTACCATCAGGTACTTGGATAGGTTGGAGCTATCAGTGCTGTACGTAAAATGAACTCTCTAGGCATTCATACTAGTGGGTAGCAGTTTGGTTGTGTGTTTGTGTGTCTGTCTGTCTGTCATCTCTGTCTGATCTGTCTGGTCTGTCTGTCTGTCCTGGAGTTTGCACCAGGGCCTTGGTGCTGTCCTAGAGCTTTTCTTCTCAAGGCTAGTGCTCTACCACTTGAGCCACAACGCCACTTCTGGCTTTTATGGTATCTTCAGAAATGTTTGGAAAAAGGAAATTGGCAGTATTAAAATGAAGTCAGGAAAGGATAAATTAGTGTACTCTTGGAGCTCATGGTAACTTTGATACTACTATTTTTTTGTGCCAGTCCTGGGACATAAATTTATGATGTTGGCACTGTCCCTGAGCTTTTTTGCTCAGGCTTGCATTCTATCACTTAAGCTACAGTTCCATTTCTGGTTTTTGGTTGTTAATTGGAGATAAGAGTCTCACAGACTTTTCTGCCTGGGCTGGCTTTAAATTGAGATCCTCAGATCTGGCCTACAGAGCAGCTAGGATTTCAGGCATGAGCCACTGGCTTCCAGCTATTTCTGGCTTGTTGCTAGTTAGTCTCATGGACTTTTCTGCCTGGGCTGGCTTTGAACCTCAATTCTCAGATCTCAGTATCCTGAGTAGGTAGTGTTATAGGCATGAACAACCAACTCCCGGCAGGAAAACATTAGTTTAGAAATCTTTTTCTTTCCTTATAGCTGCAGGCTCAGCAGGAGGAGGAAATAATCACAGAGATGATGACACAGCTTCTGTGACTAGCCTTAACTCCTCTGCCACTGGCCGCTGTCTGAAGATATATCGCACTTTTCAAGATGAAGAGGGTAAAGAGTATGTTCGATGTGAGACGGTCCGAAAACCAGCTGTCATGGATGCCTATGTGCGCATACGGACCACAAAAGATGAAGAATTCATGTGAGTTTAAATTTTTTAAAAATTTTTATTACTACTATAAAAATGATGTAAAGAGGGGGTTACATAAGTCAGATAGAGTACATTTCTTTCTTTTCTTTTCTTTCTTTCTTTTTTTTTTTGTCATTCGTGGGGCTTGAATTCTGGGCCTGGGCACTGTCCCTCAGCTCAAGGCTAGTGCTCTACCATTTGAGCCACAGCTCTACTTCTGGTTTTCTGGTGGTTAATTGGAGATAAGAGTTTCACAGACTTCCCTCCCCAGGCTGGGTGATCCTCAGATCTCAGTCTCCTGAGTTGCTAGGATTGCAGGCATGAGCCATCACACCCGGTTAAGAGTACATTTCTTTTTAGACAATGTCACCCTTTCCCTCACTCTCTCAGTCATGTGTTTGATTTAAACACTGCTAAGTGTGGAGACCAATAATGGTTAGGGGGGCAATGGATGTGTGCTTGAGTTTTAGTGATAGGATTGTGCACAATTGTCCCTGGAAGTTTTTTTTTTTTTTTTGTCGGTTGTGGGGCTTGAACTCTGGGCTTGGGCGCTGTCCCTGCACTCTTCAGCTCAAGGCGAGCTCTCTACTGCTTGAGCCACAGTGCCACTTCTGGTTTTCTAGTGGTTTATTGGAGGTAAGAGTCTCATGGACTTTCCTGCCCGGGCTGGGTTTGAACCGTGATCCTCAGATCTCAGCCTCCTGAGTAGCTAGGATTACAGAGGTGAGCCACCAGCGCCTGGCTTCTGGAAAAGTCTTTTATATTGGGGTACCACCTTGCTTTTAGATTTTTTGCTTGAGCAGAGCCATCACCAGGAAAATTACTTGTTTGCTATAAAATAAAAGCATGTTATGGCCAGGCGCTGGTGGCTCATGCCTGTAATTCCAGTTACTCAGGAGGCTGAGATCTGAGGATCACAGTTCAAAGCCAGCCTGGGCAGGGAAGTCTGTGAGACTCTTATCTCCAATAAACCACCAGAAAACTGAAAGTGGCGCTGTGGCTTAAGTGGTAGAGCGCTAACCTTGAGCTGAAGAGCTGAGGGAGAGCGCCTAGGCCGAGTTCAAGCCCTAACCCCAGGACTGACCAAAAAGAAGCATGTTATGTTCTGTCAAAAAAAAGAAAAAGAAAAAAATGTATGACTTACTAAGGATTTAGATATACCTCTGTTAATGGAGTGTTATTGAGGGTGATGGGAATGGCATTTAAGTTCCTTTTATTTTAGCCTGGGTAGATTACTTCAGTTCTGTGTTGTTACCTGTCCAGACAACCTTCTTTTTTTTTTTGGTCCGGTCATGGGGCCTGAACTCTGGGCCTGGGAGCTGTCCCTCAGCTCTTCAGCTCAAGGCTAGCGCTCTACCACTTGAGCTACAGTGCCACTTCCGGCTTTTTACTTTTTGCTTATGTGGTGCTGAGGAATCGACCCCAGGGCCTCAGGCATGCAAGACAAGCACTCTACCACTGGGCCAACTTCCCAGCCCCCAGACAACCTTCTTGATTTGAGTTTATTTATGTATGGTCTTGTCTCCCCCACCTCTTTCTCTTGTTCAGTCGAAAATTTGCCCTTTTTGATGAGCAGCATAGAGAAGAGATGCGAAAAGAACGGCGAAGGATTCAGGAGCAACTGAGGAGGCTTAAACGGAACCAGGAAAAGGAAAAGCTTAAAGGTCCTCCTGAGAAGAAGCCCAAAAAAATGAAGGAACGCCCTGACCTAAAAGTAAATTTATTATGGCTTGGCATGGTGGCATACACCTATAATTCATTTCATCACCAGAGGTTGAGGCAAAGATTTGAAATTTATAGCGAGTATGGGATACATAGGAGACCCTGTCTGAATACACAAGAAGAATTTAGTATATTGTGGTATAATTGCAACTCATAGAGCAAAGGAAAAAAAGCACACAATATTCTTTTTTTTTTATCATTTCCTTACTGGAAATTACTGCAGTATTCTAAGTATTCTAAACGTTGGAAGTGCTTTGTCTGCTTTGGTGTTACCCAGTACTAGTGTGGGTGGTAAAGACAACACCACACCCATCTAGTGCCATTGTTTTCATTAGGTTCATTAGCTTCATTTGAAATATTTTTTAGCCAGGTGCTGCAAGCCCCACAACCCACAAAAATTTTTTTTTTCTAGGCATCAAGGTAGGTATCTTGCATTTTCTTTCCCCCCCCATTTTATAAATTGCTATTATAAGGGTAATACATAGAAGAGTTACAATTTGTTTTTTTCTTTTTTTTCCTCCGGTCATGGGATTGAACTCTAGACCTGTGCGCTGTCCCTGAGCTCTTCAGCTCAAGGCTAGTGCTCTACCACTTGAGCCAGTGTACCACTTCCAGTTTTCTGGTGGTGAATTAGAGATAAAGAGTCTCAGACTTTCCTGCCTAGGCTGGTTTTGAACTGTGATCCTCAGATTTCAGTCTCCTGAGCAGCTAGGGTTATATAGGCATTAGCCACTGGCATCTAGCTACATTTCTTTTTGGACAATGTCACCCCTTCCCTCACTCTCTCCCAGTTTCTCACTCCTGGTCTTTACATTTTATTTTACATATTTATACGCTTTTAGTTTTCTGAGGTTTAGACCTATTGCTTCATGCATGCTAGGTAAGCACTCTACCACTAAGCCACATTCCCAGTCCTTCTTTGTATTTTTAACTTCATTTTATTATTATATATTGGTTGTAGGAAGGGTTTCACTATGATATTTTCGTACATGTATATAATGTGCTTTGATCAATTTCAACCCTTCTGGTTTTCTTTTTTAATGTGTATGAACTATATAAGAGAAAGTTTAGTTTCATTGTGATAGATATTTCTTTTTTTTTTTTTTTGCCATTCATGGGGCTTGAACTCGGTCTTGGCACTTGAGCTTCTTTTGCTCAAGGCTAGCACTGTACCAGTTGAACCACAGAATCACTTCTCTCATTATCTGTTTATGTGGTACTGAAGAATCAAACCAAGGGCTAAGCAAGAACTCTACCACTAAGACACATTCCCAGCCCTCATTATGATATTTCTACACATTTATATAATATATTCTGATGAATCTAACCCACTCTATCACTGTTATTCCCTTACCCCCTCCCTAATACAATTTCAGGAAATTTTGTTTTTTATTTTCATACATTTTGACCATATTAATCTTTTTTTTTTTTGGGTCCGGTTGTGGAGCCTGAACTCTGGGCCTGGGCGCTGTCCCTCAGCTCTTCAGCTCAAGGCTAGCGCTCTACCACTTGAGCCACAGCGCCCACTTCCAGCTTTTTTTGG